ACAACGAAGAAACATATTGAAAAGAATTGTTAAAGGTGTACATAAAGTATGAGCACAGTTTTTGCAGAAAATGGCAGGTATTTGATCAGGTCTCCAGCCTTTATTAACATCTAATTCTAATAAACCTGATTCTAATAAGAGGATTGGATTGAAAGAAAGTTTGTTATGTAAAAAACATAATTTTGCACAACAGAACTTTGCTCCGTACATCCGAATACTACCCATTATCGATGGTGTGATAGAATCGCCGATTCAAAAACTAAAATCGAATGTTAACGTTTTCGACAGTACGTGAGCACCTACGGAGGTCATAAATTTCACACTTGATTTCACCCCAATGCATGCGTGAGTTTCCACAGTGGCGAATGCACATAAATCTGATCGCATTTGGCATTGACGTCAGGTATAAAAAGATTCTGGAATCGGACCAGGTGCGGCGTTGAAAATTCCGGATGTGTATGTCAACAAATGGGGTTTATTAATAGATATAACTGATGACTGCTGCGATTAGAATTGTGCGTACCTAGTTTGTTGAATTGTGCACATGTTTGCTAAATGTCAGAGTATTCATTATAAAAACGAATCATCTTTCTCTGCCCAGAATTGAAGCATGCATACAAAATACTTAAGAAAGATACAACTTACAAACGTAAGATCCTCGTTGTCAGATAAAAAAATAAATTATCACAGAACTGAAGCTATCGCTTCCTGTGGACCGATTTTCTTCAAAGTGAATGGACATTTCTAGACTTTTTCAATAGTTCCACTGTCTTTTATCTGCTTAAATCTGTTCACCTTTAACCAGTTGTTGTAAAAATCGAAACTAGTGCGAGGTAAGGATTAGATTAGATTGTCGGGAAGCTAGCCCATGGTCTGATTCACTCCGACCTTTTTAGATCTATTGTGATACTCCTTGGTTGTTAGAGCTCATTATCCAGCTTGATCTCTTCGATGAGAGCCCATATGAAGGGGTCAGTGTCACCCCTTCATATAGCTGGCAACCTCTGGTTTTTCTTCCCCGCATCTAGCATGTCTCAACCTTGCTTCTCGTCTTTGTTCTGCCTCCATATATACCAGCTTCCACTCCTTCTTTGGTGTTGGAGCCATTTGTATACCAAGTTTCTTCCGCTTTTACCGGTGTGCCGTTTTGCGAGTCCTCTCTATTTGGTATGATGATTTTGAAATCTTTTTGAAAGTTGTACTGGAGAACTGTGAAATCCACGGTTATTCCTAGTATTGGATCTGCCTTCAGTTCATTGTACAGTATCAAGTATTCTGCACCGTGTAACTGGCTGATTGGGGTTTGTCTCTACATTAGCCTGTGAGTGACCAGTCAAGCTTCTCTTTGTATGTAGATGTGCAATGGTGGAAGTCTGAGTAGGACCTCGAGTGCTGCAGTTGGAGTCGTTCTTATTGCTCCCGTGTCAAATAGGCACTAAGAATTAACGAGGTCTTACATTTTAGCATGCGGTTCCTAGCTCGGCTCGAACCGAAAGTATCGTACCGACATGACGAACATCGTTAAAAATTCACATAACCAAAGAACATTTTTTATTAAATAATCGAATGAGGCATGACAGGAAACTTTGTGTGCCTCACATAAAAGGTAACTTTTTCCAACTGGTTACATAAATAGCTATCAACCAACTGTTTTAATTATTTTAGAAAATCAATTTGTTTGCTATATAGTGACCAATGACTGGACTAAACTTATCTTCTTCTTTAAACAGCTAGACCAATGTTTCTGGAATTTTTCATCTCCATCTTTTCTCAACTTTCTCAACTGTTCCCTTTGCTCTCCATACTCCATAAAATGATTCATCCTTCCCCTTTAGAAAGTCACTCAGGGAACCATTCACAACAAAATGTCTTCTCAGTTTTAAAATACACTTCTCAGTTTCTTTCACAATTTCCTTGAAAGCAACCTGACTCATCTGTAATAAGTATGTTTAGCAAGGTGTGACCCATATATTAAACAAAGAATCGTTTATATTTCTGAAGCTCTGCTAACATTCCCACAAATCTTGAATTGTCACGAATTCTTCAAGGTATATAACCGATAAATTTCTGACGATTCAGCATCTCCGGCATATAAAACCAAACCACCTACAGACGTTCTCTTCACCTTTGAAAAATGCTGATGTGTTCCATTGCCGCACAAGAGGGAATTGAAAGAGACCAAACTGAGAATGAGAATATACAAGTTTTTCAAAAACGAATGAAAATGAGGGAAATGATGATTTCGTAATTAATTTTTTTTTCAAGGACAAAACACAAGCACTACAGGAAAATCCTTAAGGCGCTCTAAGAGCGGTGCCTTTGCGAAAGTACCGATTTACTTTGGATTTGAATCGCTAGAGATTAAATCCATTTGGAAAAACGTTTTCAGGAAGTTTATTTCAGTTTATTTTACATAAAGTTACCCGTAATTAGGGGAGTAGTTGGCACGTTGTTACAATTTTTAGATAATTCTTAATAGGACAAAAACTATCAAATAATTTATACATCGTTAGTATGTCAAGTCAATAGATAAAATATGATAGAAACTTCATTAAAATTTAAGTAATTTTTCCACAATGGACAATTTAACAAAAAAAGTCGATTTGTAACAACGTACTCCCAATTTGGGGCTAGTTGTTATATCTTCGGGGCACGATGTTACGGTGGAGAAATAAACAAAATTATCAGTGATAAATCATTTTTATTATTATTTCAAAACGTTATAAACAAAAGAGATCACTTTGAATAGTCTACTAACATTAATGAGTAATTATAATATCTATATCGTAATTTTTAAAGA